CACACAAGGTTTTCAAATTACTTTATAAGTTATTTAATTAAGAAATATGAAGGTGAGTACCTCACCTTCAGCATTATAATTATTTCACCCGCGCCAGACAGAGACTGAGACGGTGCCGCTGCATGTCCTGCCAAACCTTCTCACGGCAGGCGCGTCATCAGCTTGAGATCGTTTTTTTGAGATCGGTCTTTATAGAGACCGCCGATCGATCATCCCAAAGCGATTTTCGGCCGATGGTGATCGGTATCCAATCAATCGGAGAACCCCTACTAGAAACTTCAAGGCAGGTGTGTTAAGGCAAGTTGGAGCTAAACTCTGCAGGACACCTGCCCTCCAGGACCCAGTTTTGAGACCCCTGTATTAATGTATATTATTACATACAGTAGTCAACATTTGAAGTGGATCAAAAAAGTTAATCAAAGTTGTCCTAAGACAAGAATGCATTTTGGTTTTAGGACAACTTTGATGAAAGGTTTTGATCCACTTCAAATGTTGACTAGTGTATATATCATAGTTAATATATATGTAACTTAAACTATTAAAAAAGCATTTTTGTTACTTGAAATAAAATAAACATTATCTGACAGAAAATTAAATATAAAAACTTTTTATTTCAGCTTGTTTCCAAGGCAGCATTTCTCATTTTAGTTTAGTGTAACTTGATGTACTAAAATAACTAAAACTACAACTGAAAAAAAAATATAGGCATATATCAAATAAAAACTACTAAAAATGACACAACAAAATTACTAAAACTTTAACTAAAATGAAAATGGGAAATATAAAACTAAAAACTAATTCAAAATATTAATTTAAATACTATACTATAATAATATAAACTAGTGTTTTCAAACGATTAATCGCGATTAATCGCATCCAAAATAAGTTTTTGTTAACATAATATATGAGTGTGTACTGTGTATATTTATTATGTATATATAAATACAAACACATATATGTATATATTTAACAAATGTTATGTTTATATATAATAAATGTATTTATATATAATATAAAATATAATATTATAAATATATAAATGCATATACATTAGGGGTGGAACTGTACACAGATTCGGTACGTCACAGTTCGGTACGTACCTCGGTTCGGGGGTCACGGTTCGATACGATTTCGGTACGGCGGGGGAAAAAAACGAGCACAAAGCTCCATTTCGCAAACAGTTGAGTGCACAAGCCTTTAAAGTATACTCATTTGCCAGTCCTTTGAGAGACACATTCAGAGTCAGCACATGGTCACTGTCTAGTGGGCTTTGTTTTCAAGTCGCAACTCATGGCATTCGCTGTTCTTCTGCTGGCGGCCGGTTATCAAACAACGTTGCATTGCTGCGGGCGCCCCCTTCTGGATTGGGGGTGAATTGCCTGTATTCGTTGGGCCTCATGCAACGAACCGAGATGTCCGTACCGTGACAGTTTGGTACGAATACATGTATCGTTCCACCCCTAATATACATGTAAATATTTTCAAAATATATACTGTATGTGTGTGTATTTATATATACATAATAAATACACAGTACACTACACACATATATTATGTTAACAAAAACTTTTATTTTGAATGCGATTAATCGCGATTAATCGTTTGACTGCACTAATATAAACACTAGAATTCTTGTTTTAATTAGAATTCTAAAATATATAATGAATATATACTATATTAAATCGTTATATACTTTAAAGTAGAATATAATTTTTAATATAGGTTCATTATTAGAAATCAAATAACTAAGTGACCTTAGATTTATAATAATCTAGATTGATCAATATTAGAATGAGGGTACAAAAAAATGTATGTCTGCACACCTGTTGTGAATCCGGGGGAAATTTTGAAAATTCCTGTGCACATCAGTACGCAACTTACACCCAATTATTATAGTATGAGACCCATTTCAGTGATAATTATTTCATGGAACAAATCTTGAATGCACTAGTTATGAATGCAGTGCGTGCACACATTTCTTGAGTCTGGATTGAATATGTGTTCCCTAATGATTAATTCATGTTTCCTGCTAAATTCTGAGAAACGGGTCATGAGTACCACAGTGTGACCCCCCTCTGGTCTGCCCCGGACAATGTGCTGATTATATTCCGGTCGCACGTTGGTGTGCTCTTAGGGTTTCCACAACAGCGCCTCGGTTTGCAGGGGCGGCATGGTGTTAATAACCTCTCATGGCCCTGATGTCGCAGTCATGCGGTGCGCTCATGACACAATGAACATTACCCACAGTGCTTTCTCAGATCGCTTTTGCAGCCAAAAGCAGCTAAGCCAAGAGAAAGAAAGCACGGTAGACAATAATGTCACAGATAAAACCTATCACAGCTGGCAAATGGAATGTGGCGTTACTTTGAGGTTGTTACATTTTTGGATGAACTGTTCCTTTAAGATTAATTTGTCAGCTCTCTCTGCCAGACAGCCATCAGAATAGACTAAAGTCACTCGACCAGCTTGTCTCTATACTTAGAATTATCATTAACGCCGCTTCTAGATGTTTTGAGCCCAGATGATTCACATAGGTTTGGTGTTGTGTTGAAGGTCTTTTAATAGTAATTGACACTCTTGCAGGAAGCCGTGCTGGTGTGTTTATGTGTGTCTGGTGAATGGATGGCTTTAGCATAATGACAGGGTTTAGATAGGGAGCAATCTGTTTTTCTCGGTATGTTGTGCTGCAGAAAGGCCTTTGAAAACCATCAAGCGTTTCCCATCACAGTGGCTCCTTTTAACCCTGTGGCTTTACTGAATTTGTAAACACATTTAGCTGTTTCCCGTGGTTTGTCCCTCTGTGCATCTTTCTCTCTCTCTCTGTGGGGGAATGCGATCCGCTGCATGTATGTTCGTTCGTGTGTTTTTAGTAACATGTAAGGGGGATGTTGGGTCTTTCTCTCCAGGTTGATGAAGGCATGCATCTGCTGATCACGGGCCCCAACGGTTGTGGAAAAAGCTCTCTGTTCAGAATCCTGAGCGGCCTCTGGCCCGTCTACAGCGGAGTGCTTTACAAACCATCACCCGAGCACATGTTTTACATACCTCAAAGGTACTGACTGCACACTGTGACCTAAAAAGTGTGCACTAAAAGCATGCACTTCACTGGTGATGAGAAGGTATATGCTTTTGAGTATGTAGTAAGTAGAACTAGGGTTTATATCTATGGTTTATTATGTCAAATGATATCTAAAATGAAGCAACGTTTGTGAATATCACAATGCATTTTCAAGTTGCTATTAAGTTAAGAGTTTTGCAATCCCTCCTTTAATTGTGACTTACAGTTAATTGTTTTATTTTTTTTTTAATGCTCAGATTTAAACTTTAGTAGCGAAATTTCAGTGAATTGATTCAAAAATCATTCAGTGTTCATTTTCCATGTGCCTATTTGTATTTGTATATTTAAATGTTTTAGATCATTATTTTATATGATGTTTATTGTTATTATTATTATTAGATTAATTATTTTTATTATTTTGTTTCATATCATTATATATGAGGAAATCTATGTACATAAAATTACTGAATATTGTTCCTGTTCAAAAGTAAAAACTTACCTTCATTATTTAATGAAATGTAACTAAAGGATGAAGGATGTAACCACATTGATAATTTGATCATATTCAATAATTCAGTAATTAAATAATTCTGTAAATCAGAATAAAGGGAGCCAAATGTCATCATTGCCATAAATAGGGACCAAATGTTAAAATCTAGTAATTTGAAAACAATAGCCATTTTGGTGCAAATACATTAAAAATAAAAATAAAAAGACAGAAAATTGAGATATTAATATATTTTTCCTTGTTACACTATGTTACTCAGCTTTAGCTGTAAAAGAGTATGTCAGAATTGGGAGACACTACAGATGTCATAAAATTTTGTGTTGATACCACAGATCTCTTTGTCATGTGAGAGTTAGCATTTGGCTAAATTTAGTCATTTTTGGCTTTATAAAAGCAACAAAGCAGCTTCATCCTTGCGTTTTTTTGCAAAAAATAAAACAAAACAAAACCAAACAAACAAAAAGATTTTAAAAAATGCATGACCACACAATTTGAAAACCAATATGTCATCCAGGCAACTTTGATGAGTTTTTGTCATTGTACTATGATTTGAGATGAGCTAATATTAATCTTGCATACAGAATATTATGAGCATGCCAGTAGTGTACAAATAGGACTACTATGATTGTAGAAGGCTGTTGATTTCTCTTTGTGCAGGTTCAGGACCCAGTACTGAGATGCGGTCTGCCTGATTTTGTTTGAGAATTAAGATCAATTAGAAGGCAGAAAAGTGGGTTTGCGTGCATGTGTTTATTTCCATTTCCCCTCCGTGCCAGGTTAATTAGCGCTGATGAGTGTGCTGATTAAAAAGAGGAGCACAATCAAAAAGCAGTCAGCACATATGGTGCTCCTGTGACTGCGTTACATGGCGGCTTCATTACAAACCCAACAGGAGTACAGCATCGCTTCGTGCGCATGATCACACAACGGGATGTGTCCAACATCATTTCAGACCAGCAGCTGCTTGTCATTTGGCCCACTTGCAGTTCACTGGACGTCTCTGTATATCAGGACTGTTAAAGAGAAAAAAGATTGAATAAGACTTTCAACTGCTTTTTTGAGGATGTGCCTAATGCACAATGATTTTGAGTAGACTACATTTTTAAACACTTGGCCCATTTTGCCTTTATGAGAATTATTAATGCAAAATGTGAAACACAGAGGCTAGATGCATAGATAGATCAAACAAGACGTACAGTGAAAACAGCATTACATACACAGTGAGGAATATGAGTGTTATTGAGAAGTAATATCTTTTCATCAAAAGAATCCTGCTATTTTAATCCACTAAAAAAAAGATGTGGACTCAAGTTTCCTTTGAACTCATCTGGAACAAAAAGACTAGACAATTAAATTTTGGATTCATTATTATTTTTCTTCTCTTTTCAGACCTTATATGTCGGTGGGAACGCTGAGAGATCAGGTCATCTATCCTCACTCTGTTCAGGAGATGCAGGAGAAAGGCATCACTGACCAGCAGCTGGAAAACATCCTCAAAACTGTGAACCTCTGTTACATCCTGGAGAGAGAAGGAGGTAAGAGACATAACGGGAACCTCTTCAGATATCCTCTTCAGTCACGGGATGGGCATTTTTACAAATAATGTTCAGTTGCATTTTTGCATATATAAATATTTTTTTCTGTGGTGGGAACAACTGTGTAACATACTGAAACTATGTATATTCAATATGGAATATACACTGATTACCGTTTAAATAAGTTATTACTTTTATTCAGCAAAGTTACATTAAACTTCTCAAAAACAACAATAAAGACATTATTATTAAAAAAAAGATTTCTATTAAATAAAGTTGCTGTTCTTTTTTGTCTTTTTTATCAAATAATCCTAAAAAAAGTCAGTTTCCACAAAAATATTAAGCAGCACAACTTAATATTTCAACATTGACAATAAGAAATGTTTCTTGAGCAGCAAATTAGAATGATTTCTGAAGGATCATGTGACACTGAAGACTGGAGTAATGATGCTGAAAATTCAGCTTTGACATCACAGGAATAAATTACATTTTAAAATATATTATGTCTTACAAGTGTTTAGAGGTTTGAAGAAAGCGTAACAATATTAAGGTTTTAAAAAAAAGCATCTGTCTGAGCCCCTGCCACAAAAGAAGAAGAACAACAACAACGACTTAAAGGGGTCATATGATGCGATTTCTATTTTTCCTTTCACTTTGGAGTGTTACAAGCTCTTGGTGCATAAAGAAGATCTGTAAAGTTGCAAAGACTAAAGTCTCAAATCCAAACGACTTTGTGGTGGCGTTCATGTGCGTTCAACTCGTAAATACGATCTATCCGACATGACTTGAACATACCATACGTCACAATGTGATTTGCATAACGCTGGCCAAATGTTCACGCAAAAAAAGAAGGCGTAACTTTCTCGCTGTAGTATTGTTGCCGCCGCC